TTGAAGCTCTGCCAGACAAAATCCAGGCACTGAAGGACTATCCTGCTCCCAGTTCCTTCAGGCAGTTACGTCGATTCCTTGGCCTGGTTAACTATTATAGACGTTTTATTCCTAACTGCGCGAGCATTGTCCAACCAATGACTGACTTGCTCCGCGGTAAACAACGGTCTTTTCACTATGCAGATGACGCTAAATTGTCTTTCGAGAAGCTCAAAGACGCTATCTCCAACATAGCGCTTCTCGCCTATCCAGACACGTCTGCACCACTCTCCCTGACAACTGACCCCTCTGACACTGCCGTCGGTGCAGTACTTCAGCAACTCATCGACTGTCGATGGATACCACTAGGGTTCTTCTCAAAGCGCTTACAACCTGCCGAATCGCGATACAGCAACTTCGGTAGGGAACTGTTAGCTATCTACCTAGGTATCCGACAGTTCCTTCACGACCTCGAAGGTCGACATTTCACCGTCTTTACCGACCACAAGCCATTGATCTACGCAATCAATGGCGCAACAGACAAGTACTCGCCGCGGGAAACTAGACACCTAGACTATGTTTCTCAGTTTACGACAGACGTACGTCATGTCTCAGGTGCTCTCAATCCCGTCGCGGATGCGCTTTCACGCATTCAGCAGTTCAGCTTACCGCCTGGCACCAACATTGATCTAGCCGCTATGGCTGCTGCCCAACCAACTGATCCCGACATCGACAAGCCACGACGCAACACCACTGAGACGATCACCATTGATCGACTCAAGCCAGCATTCTTCGACAAGTCTGACTCATCGGTGCAGCAAGCATCTTCACAGCCTGTGCCATCACAGCTGGCACCGCAACCTCAGACGAGTCAGTCCGGTCCAGCAGAACCGACAACCCCAACCGACAACACCCCTACTCGCCCTACACTCAATCGATGCGGTAGGAAGCTCAAACCTAAGGTTCGTTTTTCAGATTTTGTTAGCACTTACTATTTTACATAGAACGTGCCTTCGAAATTTTCTGCTCGTACTAAGCGTTTTTGAAAACCCACAATAAAAGATCAAAACGTTTTGAAATTACCAAAAAAGAACAAAACCTATTGAAAACCCAAAAACAGCTTTGCACGTTTTCCGCTTTGCACTCTTTTGTGTATGGCTATGCATTCATGCTGCTTTTTCGTTTTGCTTTCCATATACACCGTCGGTTGGTTGCACCTCGGTTTCACTTTCCGCTGAATCTCCGCACGTCAACTGCAAGTGGAATGAACTTCCAGTTCAACCGTCTACGTGAACTTTATTAACTGTCCCTCCCGCAAACAATTTTTTTACCGTTTCGACACCGTAGGGAGGACACGGGTGGGAGCCCGCTAGGGTCCGATTGCATGGTTCTCCCCCAGCAGCTGCATCGGGTTTCACAACCTGGTCTCGTAGAAGGCTGGCCCGCGACGGACAGTCCTCACGTAGATCGAAGGACTGCTTACACAGTCCATTCTGGGAGTGGGCTATGTAGCAGTCTGGAGATTCCCCGGTTTGCCTGTGTAAAATTCTAACCAAAATTCTATAATTGTACACTTAGGCAACCGGTGTGGTTTGTTGAACTGATTGCTGAGTTCGAATGCTCTACTTGCTCATCGCCATTTTTGCTTGGCGCTCGTTTCGGTTGCAACGCGCAACTGCCCTGTGTGCTGTGCTTGATCCTTTCCCCTAGCTAGAGCGTCCACGGTCTCGTTCTTTTATAGTTAGATAACAGGGAATCTCTTACTGTACCAATAAAAGTTTTCCTGCAACTCGATCTGTCTTCTCGAATCGCTGTCTGTGCTCCCGGAATAGGCAACCCTCTAAACCTGAAAAACACCACTTGTGACTGGTTTGGGGAGGGATAAAGACTCGTTCATCTTTACTGATTGCGTGCGAGATGAGAGATAAGATTGGAACCATGAGAGCTGGCGGTCTGAGATTCCATAGGATTCTAACTTTACTAATAATTCCGCGTGTGGCACTCTGTCAAAAGCTTTTCTCATATCAAGGAAAATTATGACTACTGCTTGTTTAGCCTCAATCTGCGCAGTCACGTTGTTAAGAAACTCAAATTGGCAAGTCTGACAAGATTCGGACGGTAAAATCCGTGTTGTTGTCTATTGATAAGGTTGCAACTAAGCAGAAAGTTCAGCAGGTTCTCCTTAACAATCCTTTCCATTACTCTGGAGGCAATAGGCGTATGGCTGATGGGGCGGTAGTTTTCTATGTTTTGACGGCTACCTTGTTTTTGTCTAGGGATGACTATAGAATGCTTCCACGTGTTTGGATACACGTCGAATTGCATTGAGAGTGTAAATAAGTTAAGCAGCAGAACAGGAATGTCTTGACCACCGAGTATCAGCAGTGCAGATGGGAGACCATCAGGGCCAGAGTGTAGTGATAGCTTAAGTGAGCTGATTACTCGGGTTATGGAACGTAGGTCGAAGGTAATAATGTCTAGCGAGTCGTGGGTAAGTTTGGGCACAGCAGTTGGCAAGATCGGGTTGATGTCAGTGAAGCAATCGCAGAAGTGGTGATTGAGAATCTCAGCTATTTCCTTAGGATCGCTGATTACGGACTCATCAGAGAGTCTTAGGGAGGTGATAGATGCTGCTGTGCGATTGTTTCTATATTTCAATAGCTGAGTGAGGGACTTGGTTTTATTGTGGCTGTTATAGGCGGCGCGCTCTTAAACTAGCTTAACCATCACCTGAGAGTGCTGCCAGTTGTCTATGACTCTGTTCATGCAAACAAGTATATGGACATCATGCGTCATAGAGTATTGGTGGCGCATTTTCCGGAGCTTCATCAGCACCTTGTTTAGATGGGATGAACGCTTTATCAGTTTTGACCTGCGGCTGTGCATTAGCGGAGCGACCACTTCTAGACAATTGGTGGTGTTGTTGTAGAGTTCATGAGTGGCTGTGTCCACATCAGTGGACAAGAAGAAGGTATCCCGGTTAGCTGATCGGACGAGCAGAGAAAAGTTATCCCAGTTAATGCTTTTAAACATTCGCGATTCACCAGTTAGACTAATTGAGCGATAGGATGAGACAGAGAGCGTAAATGATAGATGAACTACCTTATGGTCGCTTCCTGGGATGTTGTCTTTAATGACAGCATCTTAATGACAGCATCAACAGCATCCAAGATGCCAAGCGTAAAAATTAGGTCAAGAGTATTACACAGCCTCGTCGGAACATGGACGTGTTGAATCCAATTGTTCATATATATTGTGTCAACATAGCCTCTGTATTTGAGAAGTGCACTCTGGCCATTCCAAGAGACATGTGGCATATTAAATTCACCACCCACTATCCTGTAGCGTGAGGACATTGTGGAGACGTCATTGAAGAGGTTTACTAGTTCCTTAATCTTGGTATTAGAGTCATGTGGGTGATTGTATACGCAACCAATAAGGAGGTCAAGTGTACCCCCATTGGTCTGGATCCAGATTGAATCCTCTGGGTCTCCAATTGGTAACAGCTCAAATTCAGAGGCACCAAAGTCGTCCCTTAAGTAAATAAGGCATCCTCCACCGCGTTGGTTGTTGCGTCCATTGCAGAACGTGGTTTCCCTGGGGATATTTAAGATGTTGTCAGGGGTGCTTGCGGATTGCCATGTTTCTGTGATCAGAACGATTTGTGGAGAGGAGAGAAGAACAAATAGACCGATGTAGTGCATTTTGTGGTTCATGCATCTTGCATTGATAAGGAGCATACTGCAGGTTCGACTGCGTACGTCCTTAGAGAGAGTGAGGTCGGGGTCCAGTGTAGAATCCCTGCGTGTCATAACGGAGGAGTCCGTATATAGTGAGGGAGATGTTTCACGTGCAGGCAATACTCTTGTTGCAGTTAGTACCTCACAGCGATCTGGGGAGGTGCACTGAGGTGACTTGCCATATAGGTTATTGTCATCCCACAGGTTGTCTGCAAGGGACTTATTAGACGACTGCGAAATAAAGCTTCGGAAAGGTAATGGGTCTAACGGCTCATTCATTTGCGCAGTAACTTTTATACTGCCACGTAAGGAGGTTGTGGTAGTAGGAGCATTACTATTTTCGTCGGCATGTAGATCATGCGGTAGTTTATTGTCAGTTCCTGTGCATGGCTGGGTTGGTAGCAATAAGACGGAGATGGGGGGCTAATTTGGTTCCTAGGATGGACCGAGAGTGGATGGATGGAACATCGCGATGGGGGAAAGACCGGATCATCAGTGTACTTTGAGGGCCAAAGCGGATCGCTATGTGAGAGCGTTGACTGCGGGCAAACGTGGGCAATTTCCATTTTCGTGGGAGAGAAGGGGGCAGCGAGGTGTTGGGTGAGATAGAGTTGCGTATATTAGGTGAACGCTGCGCATATGTGAGAACAGGGGATGACAAAGTTTGATACTGCTGAGTATTTGCCATCGAAATGCCAAGAGGAAACTTGGGAATTACTGGATCTACCCGAATGGCTGAAACCAGCGGTTTGGAGGGGGCTGAAACCAGCGGTTTGGAGGGGGCTGTAATAAACATAGAAGATTTCGGAGATAAAGCAGGGAAGGCGCTAGCTCTTGATGAGTTGGGTGCAGTGGACCATACCCTGTAGTGTCCCATAAAAAAGGGACGGTGGTATAGGGGGCCGTGTTGTGTGCGGTTATGTCATGTAGATTCACAAACTGGGGTTGTCCAGATTTTGGAAAGTGGTTGTTTATAGTGGCGCCTGCAGCTTTGGTACTTCTTGTACGATGGGGAGTACCGTAAGAACTATGGCCAGGAATAGATAGTATCGAGCTAGGTGTGTTGGGCAATTGTTGGTAATTCGGGGCGCGGGCTCCTAACTTGGGAGCTTCAAGTAGGTACCGGTTTACTCGTGGCTGTTGTAGCCTAACCATGTTCGCAAACCCCATCGATGACTGATATATTGGGGAAGATGGTTTCTCAGTTGCTGGCTGCCACGCATGAGTCCAAGCGTTGGCGTGTACCATCCGGTGCTCAGGTTCATTCTTGTTAACATTTTTGTGGAGTTGGGTTACGTGGATCCTGCGGACCTTTGCTCGGTTCGTTGTAGGTGTGGGCAGCAGACACCTTTGGCGTGCATTACAGGGTATAGGCGGATTTCCGCAAAATTCTTCTGCATTATTGCGTTCACTCCTGATGATGGGAGTAATGGGCGAAACGATAGACGGAGATGCTGCTTCCGTGTCAGTATCGCACATATCAGAGTCACTGTTCGATAACGCTCTGAATGTTTCGCTTTCTGCAAAAGTTGCAGTATCTTGTTTTGTGCCCGATTTGGGTGTAATCACTTTAGGGGAGACATCTGTAGTGACCATGACATTTTACTCCATCAAACATCACATTCAGACTTGTACACATTTTGGTTTACTTTGCACCCGCCTAAAGCCTATATATACTGGAATGCGATTTTGAACCAGGTCCGCCATCTTGCCCGCGCGTTGCCGGCGGTTGCGCTCCTACGTGGTGTTACTCATTGCTTCACCATTTTCTCCCATTTTCCTCAAGCTATATTCACATAGCTATTGTACATAGCTATTTTCTCAAGACATTCTTAATATCTTGCCGTCTTCTGTCTTACTGGGCTACGGTTTTCTTGTGTAGCAGTCGTCAAGCTGCTACATAATAGGTGACCCCAATCGCATTCCGGTGAGTTCGTTTCAATTTTTTGGTTTCTCCACGCAAGCCATGACGCCAGTTGCTAAAAAGTGTGAAGACTCACAGTCTGTGTAAGCGGTACCTCTGGTAGTCCCACCATTTATTGAAAAAGATCCCGACTTGTGGTTCATGATTTTAGAAGCTGAATTTACTTCTAAGCATGTTACTAGTGAATCTGCAAAGTTTAATCACTTGCTAACACGTCTGCCGACTGATGTTACTTTAGCACTACGTGATCTTATTATTACATCTTGTCATCCTGACCGCTATAATTCTCTCAAGAACGCCGTTATAAAGCGTGTTACTCCCTCAGTGAAGTCCCGCCTGCACAAACATTTTACTGGTCTACAGCTAGGTTCTAGTAAGCCATCCGCGCTATTGCTAGAGATGCGTGGTCTTCTTCACGGATTGCATATGGACGAGTCGCTGCTTCGAGAGTTATGGCTTCAGCGTTTGCCTGAAAACGTACAAGCTATGCTATCGCTTGCGAAATCGCAGCCTTTGTCAGAAGTTGCAGATATTGCTGATGACATGATGGAGCGCTTCATCGGACCACCGTGTCCGTCGCCTAGTTCTCTTCGCTCACTTGACGTAGGTTTTACTGTTGACCCTTCGGTCCAAACCATCGACACCGCTACTCCACCTTCGACTGGTGAGCTCTTAGCAGAGATAGCCGCGCTACGGCACGAAGTTCAAAACTTAAAGTTACATCGGCACCCACGGGATTCTCCATCCCGTTCTCCTAGCCCATCTCGAAGCCGAACACGACTCCCAATTTGCCGTTATCACGCACGTTTTGGAAGTTCCGCTAGAAATGGTATAAAACCATGCTCATTTCCCGTAACGAGAAAAAGGACAGGCCGACACGTATTGGCGACGAACGCCGTCGGCCGAAGTCGTCCAAATCGCCTCTTCAAAATCGTTGATAGGAACACCGGAATCATGTTCCTGGTTGATACCGGGGCGGAAGTTAGCGTGATCCCACCGGTTCCAGGCGAGGCGACTAAGCCACAGACAACCAACTTGCGTGCCGCTAACGGCACCGCTGTCCGAGTTTTCTGTCAACGCTCCCTTACCATTGATCTCAGACTACGACGTCCCTTTCGATGGATTTTCACCATCGCTGCTGTTCCGTTTGCTATTTTGGGTATCGACTTCCTCCAACACTTCGATCTTCTCGTCGATGCGCGTCATCGCAAACTCGTTGACCAAAAGACCCAGCTTTTCACATGTGGAGTTCGCACACCTTGTGTTTCTGTCACTCCCATTTACATTCAGCCTGAAGCTGATAAGGAACTTTTAGATCTGTTCAGACAGTTTCCGCAGCTGGTCCACTCAGCTGACGCTACTCTTCCGGTCGCATCTAGCGTTACGCACCATATACGAACCCGTGGCCCACCGGTTTCTGCACGGCCACGACGTCTTGCCCCTGATAAGCTAAAAGCCGCTAAGGCGGAATTCGAGCACATGCTCGAACTTGGGATCATCCGTCCTTCCGAAAGTCAGTGGGCCTCACCTCTCCACATGGTGCCGAAGAAAGGCGGCGATTGGCGGCCCTGCGAAGACTGCCGGGCGCTGAACAAGTGCACAGTTGCAGATAGGTATCCTATACCGCACATACAGTTCCTTACAAGTAGTCTCGGTGGTAGTAAGGTAGTTTAGTAAGGTAGACTTCACGCGAGCATATCACCAGATTCCTGTAGAGGACTGCGACTTCCCCAAAACTGCAGTTATAACACCCTTTGGTTGATTCGAGTTCCTTCGAATGTCTTTCGGGTTAAGGAACGCTGCTCAAACATTCCAGCGGTTCATCCATGATGTTACTCGTGGTCTGGACTTCGCATATCCTTACGTGGATGACATCCTGGTAGCCAGCGCCTCTAAGTCGCAACACTTAGAGCATCTGGGTATTCTATTCCAACGCCTATCTGATCGATGCGTTACCTTGAACCCTAGCAAATGCGAACTAGGAAAATCGTCGATCGAGTTCCTAGGTCACCGCATCTCAGCTACAGGTATTGAACCACTGTCTCAAAAGGTAACCGCTATCAAAGATTTCCCTGAACCTACATCGTTTAAACAGCTTAAACGTTTCCTTGGGATAGTTAACTACTATCGACGCTTTATTCCGTGTTGTGCTAGGATAATGCAGCCCTTGACTGACTTGCTTCGGGGCAATCAACGTTCGTTTGTTTTTACCAAGTCCGCGCGATTAGCATTCTCAAACGTTAAAGACGCAATCGCTAATGCTGCTCTCTTAGCACATCCCGTACCATCTGCTCCAATTTTGCTCGTCACTGATGCCTCAGACGAGGCCGTTGGTGCTGTTCTTCAGCAGACTGTCGACAACACCTGGCAACCTTTGGGTTTCTTTTCGAAACGGTTGCAGCCAGCGGAGACACATTACAGCACTTTCGGGAAAGAACTTCTGGCAGTTTACCTCGCCATCCGTCATTTTCGTCCTTTTCTAGAGGGCAGAAGCTTTACCGTCTTTAATGACCACAAACCTTTAGTTTACGCCCTCGACTCGTCATCCGACCGATACTCTCCGAGAGAGATACGCCACCTGGACTATGTCTCACAGTTTACGTCAGACATACGGCACGTCTCGGGTGTGCAGAACTCCGTCGCCGATGCTCTTTCTCGCGTCAGCTCCATCACTTCCGCTGAAGGTATCGATCTAACGGCAATGGCTGCCGCTCAACAGACCGACCCAGAGCTAGATCAGCTTCGTAATTCTAGCTCCTTGCCCATACGACCAGTTCCACTGCCTACTTCGGATGGAACCATACTTTGCGATGTTTCGCAAAATTCACCACGACCAGTGGTTCCCCAAGCTTACCGACGCACTGTGTTTGACATTCTTCACAGTTTATCACATCCAGGCATTCGTGCCGCAGTTAAACTCGTCACACAACGCTTCGTGTGGCGCAACGTCAACCGGGAGGTTAGACAGTGGGCTCGTACGTGCCTTACTTGTCAACAGTCTAAAATTCATCGACAAACGAAAAGTCCGCTTGGTTCATTTCCACTTCCTGATGCTCGTTTTCACCACATTCATGTTGACCTTGTTGGGCCACTGCCCCCATCTAATGGATGCGTTTACTTGCTGACTTGTATAGACCGCTTTACAAGATGGCCTGATGCCATCCCAATGCCAGATTGCTCATCAGACACTGTCGCTCGTGCTTTTCTAGAGCGATGGGTCTCACACTTTGGTTGTCCTGCCGTTGTGACAACTGATCGAGGTTCGCACTTCGCAGGCACATTTGCTCACCTTCTTCAGACACTCGGGTGCCGTCACATCCAAACGACTGCATTCCACCCTGCCGCCAACGGCATGGTTGCGCGTTTTCATCGCCAGCTGAAAGATGCACTATGTGCACATGATAACGCAGACTGGTACGAAGCGCTTCCCACCGTTTTACTTGGCTTACGGAATACTGTCAAAACCGACATTAACGCTGCTCCGGCCGAACTCGTTTATGGCTGCACATTGCGTCTCCCTGGACAATTAGTCGCCCCAACTCCGGAGAGGGCATGGAACTACAAGAGCTACGTAGCTCGTCTGACGCACCACATACGTCAGCTGCACCCCGCGAGACCCAGGGAACAACGCACTCCAGTGCACGTTCCGAAAGACCTTTCTATATGTTCCCACGTATTTTTACGTGTCGACCAAGTGAGACATCCTCTCTCCGCACCTTACACAGGTCCATACCGTGTTAATAAACGGTCTTCAAAAACTTTGGTGATTGACCGTGGGGGTAAAAGGGATACTGTCTCGATAGATCGCGTCAAGCCTGCGTTCATCGGTGAACAACAGTTGGTTTTATCCTCGACCTTAACGCAATCTACAGAGTTACCTGTAACGATGCCCAGCTTTTCAGCTCCACCACAGTCCCAGTCACCAGATTCGCCTCAAACTAATACCAGTCACGGTAGAAGAGTTCGTAAACCTGTTCGTTTCTCCGATTTTGTCGAATTCATCCACATTTCATAAATCTTTATCATTTTCTGTCGTTGTTTGTATTATGCTTTTCCGTTAGCAGAGTAAATATCTGAATCTGTCTCCCTGAGTTTTTTCCTCATCTATCAGATAAAGTCATGAGGCTGGCACGTTTAGGTCCGTCCGTTCAATGGTTGGCTGTTTTTCAATTGTTTTGGTCGTTTGGATGCTTTGGTCTACCCCCAACGCTTTGTCGTCTCGCCCACCCACGTTGGCCTTTGGATCGTGGTCTGCTTGGCTCAAGTTGGCTCGCCTTGGTCGTTTGTCGTGCTCGCCTTCCTGGTTTTGGCTGCTCGTGTGCCTGGCTCGTTGTTTTTGGTCCCCCCACGGCTCGCCGGTACGAACAGGATTTCAGCTTCGTTGTGGCAGTGGATTGGAATGCGGTGGGGGGAGTGACCTCTCCCAAGCGCACCGTCCTTCAGCAGCGGTGAAAGGTCCTACCGGCCCTTTATCTGGATAATCCAGTTTTTTTGTAGTCCGGTGTGCCCGCTGGGACGGCCCACCGATGATGCATTCCAATCCACAAGAAGAATAAATAATCTAAATACTAACCTACTCCTATGGTTCTGCCTTCTTACATCTGCAAGCCAGCAACGATCGAAGTCCTCGTCCCTCGGCCTTCTAGGGGGAGGCCTGTGTAGTGACCATGACATTTTACTCCATCAAACATCACATTCAGACTTGTACACATTTTGTTTTACTTTGCACCCGCCTAAAGCCTCTATATAAACTGGAATGCGGTTTTGAACCAGGTCCGCCATCTTGCCCGCGCGTTGCCGGCTGTTGCGCTCCTACGTGGTGTTACTCATTGCTTCACCATTTTCTCCCATTGTCCTCAGGCTATATTCACATAGCTATTGAACATAGCTATTTTCTCAAGCCATTCTTAATATCTTGCCGTCTTCTGTCTTACTGGGCTACGGTTTCCTTGTGTAGCATTCGTCAAGCTGCTACACATCCTGTCGTTGTTGTGATGCATCTAAATCAACAGTACACAGTGGTGTAAAGCAGGTGACAAGCGATGCATCTTTAGTTTTGGGTCGGGCTTTCATGTTGGATGTTGATGTATAGGTACGTGCCATTGATCTTTGCAGGGGGGTCATGTCTTCTCTGACCTGTAGGGCCCCGAGATTAACCTGTCGTTTGATGAGTAAGCTGGAGGCGATGACGCGTGATGCAAGCTCAGGACCTATAAATCTAAGCATGACAGGGCAAGTACGCCCGGGAATCTTTCTTAATCGTTTAGCAGTGCAGCAATCTAACGGCAGCTTGCAGACGTTTAGAAGCTTGCGTAGCAAATTTCCAAGTGGTAACCGGCCAAAGACATTAAATAGTATGGCTTTACTGGCGCGGCGCAGACGCTCTTTTGCCTCTTGGGCAATTACGTTCAGAAGCATACCAGCTTGGTTTAGATCCGATGAGTTTTGCGGCTTTAGTATGCCCGATAGGTGTACTAGGGGCATCACCTTCATCAACGTCTCATTGAGGTTCAGTATGTCGCTTTTTAGCGAATTTACTTGATTTTCAATTGCGTGTATTTTTAGCATCGCTTCATTAAGAGGGTCATTAAGCATGACCTTCCATTCCTGAGAAGGAATGATAGCGGCTATTTCAGGCATTGATGCATGATTTACAAGCTCTATATTACCAATCCCTGTGCTAGAACCATTGGCCACCACGATGGTGTCAGTTTGGTCTATGTGTTCGACATCGCCTACATCCGCTAAAGCCGAGTTGTCTTTAACAGTGTGGACTGTAGCCGGTTTCACTCTTTATCTGTTACGCATCATAGCTGCGAGACATTTAGGTACCATGATACAGAAAAATGGAGCACTATACCACAACGTTACAAGTGAGGACTTGGACAAAAGTCTAAAGGAAAACCCGATGTAGGGTTGTAAGATGACGGTGTGATATAATTATATATCACAAACGGTATGATAGGGTTAATGGAAGCGATATAGCAAAACTGAATAACCAACCAAAAGTTTCCGACTTATTCGAATTTCTGCAACTTCTACACATTTTCTCTGCAGCCAATTCCGTGCGTTGTAACGTATTTGTTGTGCAACATAATTGCTTTAACATTTTGATGGTACCTAATTTGGCGTGACCCGATTGAATAGAGAAAATCATATTTAGATTTTTACTTATTTGTACTACAAGGCATGCCACTTGTGAACTTCCTAACGGTGCGGAACTTAGACGTTCATTACTTTTGTTTGCTGAACTTGGCGGAATACTTAGTCTATACTTTCGCAGAAGCGCTCCCTCTCATCGTTTGCTTCTTCAAAACCATGACAATGCAAGAATCTTGACCTGCGCCCTACACTACATGTGCATGGCCTACGCTAGGGTACCGCTTTATAGTATTCCTCAACCTCAGACCATGCAACAGCATAGCCCTTAAAAATGTTTACAGAAAGTACATAAAACGCCTTCTAGGTCAATCGTTTCAAAGACCGTGGTCGATGTAACAT